AGTATTTACAACGTCCGATCAGGACCCTACACAAAAAAATCAATATGGAAAAAACCTAAGTTTCTTGGTTATCTCCGAGGGCAGTCTCTTCTTTATCGGGCTTCTCCCCGCTCTCAGACTCACTCCCGTTCCCATCATCATCATTAGAAGCCAAGGCTCCGGCATCGGCTTCAAGCTCTTTAGCCTTTTTTATCTCTTCGGTAAGATCAAAACCTCGAGCATGGATCTCCTCGAGGATTTCCCTCCGAGATTGCCATTTGGCGAGTTCAGCAACCTAATATGCTCGAGTTTGAGCGGTCTCGGCTGCCTTTTTCGCTTGTATTTGAACGGCTTCAGCATCAACCCGATAAGCAGCCACGATTGCATCCGCCTCGGCTTTGCTTTTTCGGTTTCAGATTTGGCCTTGGCAAGTTCGGAAGCCAATCGAGCCTCGAGCTCCTCTATTTTTCTTGCTTGAACCGAGCTCTTCTCCTTCATGCCTTGAAGTTGACTTTCGGCCGATGATAATTAGGCTCGAGCAGTCTCTTTTTCTGCAGCGAGGCGGTCCATGCCTTCTTTCCACCCCAAGGTCTCCGCCCTTATCGTATCGACCTCCTCACGAAGCAGCCCGATCACCTCAAGCTTCTGCTGCAGCTGTGAGATCGAAATATTATCCACTGTTCCCGAATCGAGCCCATGATTTTTTAAGATTATCATTACCTGCTCGGTGAGGTCGGTCTGATCTTGGTATGCCTTGGCTAACTCGGCTCGGAGATCTTTGATCTCTTCCTCTTTCTGCCCATTAAGAAGTTTGAGGGCATTTCTCTCTCCCGAAAGCCCTCGGAAGTCACCTTACGTCGTCTCAGTTCTGTTCGAGACTTAGAAAACTCCTCTTGATGAAGAGCTAAAGCCTATACTAAAAGAGAAAAAGTTAGACAGAAAATAGAAAAATATGACATCAACGAAGGGAATCGAGACTTACCCGATTCAGGGTTCATTAAACCTCGAAGAAAAGACCCGATGCTTCACTCGGGCTGGTAACATCTTCAATTCCGGTAAACAAATCACGAAAGGGGTCCTCTCCCTCATGGGCCCTGTCTACCTCGAGGGTCCCCAAAGCTCGGGCTTTCCGAATCGCCCCTTCGGAAAAAGCGGGGAGAGTAGGCGATTCTCCGATTACTATTGCCCCAAGCGAGTCGCTTGGGGTGTTCTCCTCAGTTCGAAGAGCTTTAGGGTCGGCCCCTTCAGATATACCCATCGTTTGTTGACTTCGGTGGGAGGCATCCTCGATCTCCAACGACTCTGGGACTTTGCCCGAGTCCTTTACCGACATCCCCTCAGTCCGAGATGGAGCCTCATCAAACGCCATAGATCCCGCTGCCTTTAGGGCATCGATAGTTTTCTTTACTCGGGCCAGCAGTATGGTCCCGTCATTTTCTTTATCCTCTTCATCTTCATCCCTTAGACGCCGAACTGATTCTTCAGTCAAAAGGATGGTGTTCTTCCTCGGCTTACGAGCGTCTTTGTCTTAAATGTTAGATTCTCGGAGGTAGAGGCCCTTTTTCTTTTGTTATCCTTCACCGGTTTTGGAACCGGGGCCAAAGTCTCTTCCTCGCCAGACGAGGGCCTCAGGACTGCATCTTTGCCCAGGCCTACACACAAGAGAATTAGTTAAGTATAAGAAAGTCATTTCGTTCGAATCTTCGAAGGCATGGGGAAGAGGCTTACCATGATTTTTAGCCTCCCATCGGCCCTTTGATAAGTCGCGCCACGAACGCTCGGCATATGTGGAGGTAGAAACCAGGTCCCGTACCCAGCTCTTCAGGTTAGGAATAGCACCGAACATCCAAGCAACCGCTACATCATGGGAAAGGATATCGATAAGAAACAAAAGAGAAAAACAATAGGAGCTAACAGTAGAATTATACTTACGCTTCATGCTCCATTCCTCGGGAAATGACATCTTCTCGATCGGGATTTGGTCCGAAGTCTTCACTCGAACGAACCTGCCCATCCATCCCCGGTTCTTGTCCTCATCTATGCTCGAGAACATCACTTTGGTATCCCGGCGCTGGAGTTTTATTAACCCACCTCGATAGAGGCGGGGGCTGTACAATCTAATGAGGTGGTCGAGGGTGAAAGGCATCCCCTCGACTTTGTTCACGAATAAGCGGATCAGAATAGCGATCTGCCAAAAAGAAGGGTGGATTTGGCCTAGAGTTACTTGGTATTGGCGGCAAAAATCGATGATAACAAGGTCGAGGGGGCCCAACGTGAAAGGGTAAGTGTACACACTTAGAAACCCTTTCACATGAGTAGTAATATCTTCTTCGGGAGCCGGGATTATCACTTCTATTTTCTCCCAGTTGCAATCTTTCCTTAACTGTTTAAGATGGACCTCGGTTATCGAGCACATATATCTCGATACTGGCTCGCATCGACCAGGGACCGACGAGGATTTGTTGATCTTAAAATCGGAGGTAAGAACATACCCCCCGGGAACACACTCCTCAGGTCGTGGCTCCACCGGTGTTTTGTCGCCGGCGGGCCGCGAAGAAGAAGTTTTTTCTTTCTGAGGAACGATTTTTGATGTTTTCGCCATTAGGATCTGAAGATTGAAGATATAGGAAGATGACAAGATTTGGTGTTCTAAAAGATGGATTTTGTAGTAAAAACCACAAATTTACAGATGAAGAACTCAGAAGATGCGAAAGGGAACTTAGAAGATTTGGAGATGTAAAAGTAAAAAATAGTAAAAACAGGGGCTATTTATAGGGTTGGCAATGACAGTTCAGTATCGACAATGGCCGATCATCGTCTGACACGTATTTAATGCCTTGGTAAACTAAACCGACGGGACATCTATCACGTACGTCATGGTCGGCTCGATGCAAACGTCAGTATTTATCTAGTTATACCGTTGGAAAATTATGTTGTTTCTCGCCACATTCTTCCCGAGAAACGAGGGGACTATCTGTATACGGTCAAAATTATTTTCGACCTTCGTATGATTAGTCAAGATTGGAACATAATGGACCGAAGGTCATCTTCATAATATCGAGATGGGATCTGAAACCAGCTTACAAAGCTCGAAGTTCTGGGACCGATCAAGTACCGAGCTCGAGTCCAAATCGAACCATGAGGTGAAGCGGTGTCATCGAGCTCAAGATCCAGAGACCGACCAATATCAAGTCCAATTCGATACCGAGCCTCGAGTTAATATCGAGCTCTAAATCTGGAAATCAACCAATACCAAATCCGACCGAGATCGAGCCAAGAGACAAGAGCCGTTACAGCCGCACTAAGGAGAGAGAATCTCAACGGAAATTAGGGAAAAACTATTCTATCATGGTTTTCCCACTATGTATTTTTAAATATATCCAAAGTAGGATCCCTCCACTATAAGAGGGATGTCTGTTATTTCTGTAAGGCATCCAACATTAAGGCATTGATACATTCACACATTATTGATATTCATAGAGAAAAACATACTGATATTTATATTGAGATTATCCTCTTGTTAGCTATATACATTGATTCATCTTGCTTGTTCATAAAATAACTTTCTATTTCAATTTGGTTGGTATTTCATTCTTCATACAGTCAATACCCAATATATTTCTACTTACTTTCCGATTTGTGCCAAGTTGTATCACGTATACTTAGAACTACGTATAAATTCAACTCTATCTGTTTTTCGGGTAAACACATGTATTGACTGATAAAAAAATTTCCTCACCATCCGTTTATGACGCTAATTACACTGATTTGTTCGAAACCATATTCTGTCTATTTTCTAGCAAATGAATTTGCACATGCTCTTCGTGGAGTGGCGGATCTAGAGCATAATATATGTGTTTTTGGGAACCAGTAACTTTTGCCTAGACTCTCTCTATTAAGAAATTCCATAAATATATATAAATATTTGATGACATGAATCGAGTTATTATTGTATACTAGGACGTAGCATGTAGGAACTTAGAATCCTAAATCGATACCATTGACATACATGTCACTGTGTCAGCATTTTCAACATTTGATGTGTCAGTCAACTCGTCCTTCGTTTTGACCGTATGTGGATTTCAAGTAGAAAACTACGTGCTACGAAAGCAGTATGCAGCATGAAAACAATGAGCAATTATAAGAACTCTAATTCCTATATTCATGTGAGTTCCATTTCTGACAATTTTTCAGAGGGTTTTCCCTTTTTTAAGGAAGGAGTCAGACAGGTCATGTTACAAACGAATAGAAACTATAGTATGAGATAATTAAGCCAGCTGCATTTTCTCAGACACGACTATTTTTTACAAGCTAATCCCTTCTCCCTCCTATATTTCAATTTCAATATCTAGCAGGCATCAGTAAGCAACCCACATATTATACAATTCTCAACTTGATTGTCCAATTATAACTCAAAATCCTCTTACTAATTGAGCATTCACAGAACATGTGCTGTTGACTTACCTGATAGTGTTGGTGCGGCAGTAATGTTAGATTTGGCACATTTGATGCATGAAGTCAGAAATTAATCATGAAAGAATGATTAGTGTTTTGTAAAAGGCAATAGGAAATTCAGCTTGTTTTAGGCTTTACTGCTTTTTTAATCTTTGCCATGTTAAGGATTTATTATTTCGTGCTGCAACCTATTGAGATCAGCATATTCCTTTTTTCTTATGTCTTGTTAATTGCACTGCACATTATTTTTGAATCAAAGTGCCTAGAGCAATTCTTGTTTGTCTTGTATTATATATCCAGAAGAGTTGAACTTTAACTTGATTGAACTAGAGTTCATTGTGCCCTCCCTACTGGACTACAGCGCGCTTCTTGATTTTCGTAGCCAACAAATCCACAATGCTGAATAACAAGGCACTATCAGACCACGGGAGTAGGCGTCAAATTATTGAGCTTAACAACATGACAAATATCAAGCATGAGTAATCTGAGGAAACCAGTTCTTCTCTTTTTTGACATAGGCTAAGGCCAGAGAAGCATAAATGGAAGGAACATTGTTGACAAAAGAATAAGTCTAATAGGTTGTTTATTATTCAGTACCAGTTATTAAGACAATATATGAGCAAAAAGGGAGCAATAAATACATAGGAAGCAATTACAACACTGTTCTTAGTTCCACCTTAGGACACCACAAGTAAGTATTTATCTTGTTTACCCCATCAAAACAGCAGCATGCTGTAGGATGAAGAATAACACGATACCAGACTTATTCTCTGCCATAATATACTCCTTACTTTAAAAGAAAAATACAGATGAAATCAATTCCTTGAACGGATGTTCTATTTATAGAGGCTATGAAGTTCTGTTCTGAGCTGTGGTATTCTCTGCAGCTATCTGTGCTGAAGCATGTGATAGTAAAACTGCAGTAGTAGGAGTCATAGTTTGGTACTGAGAAGGATGTGATGGAGCTGTGTTTTGAGTGTAGTACACCTGTTCATGCACAGGATGAGAATACTCATAGCCGAAATTAGCAGCGCCATTAGAAACAGCAGTCATTTGCTGTGATGGAGGAGGAACTTGGGAAAGACCATAATACTGTTGATGATATTGACTTTGAGGAATTTGAACTACTGTTTGAGTCGCTGGGGTAGGTGTTCTATATACATTCGCAGCCATTTCAGGGTTAGAGGACTGGACAGTCCTTGACGGATAAATAGGCGGGAGAGCTTCTTTAAAGGCTGCTGAGGATGAAACCATTGTTTGATTTGGTGGTGTTAGCTGCTGGCTTGAAGCTACAGCAGTAGCATCAGCTATATTAGATTGCACTGCCATGTTATACGGCTGAGTCTGAGGTACTGGCATGTAATACATGGGATATTGCTGATCCATTTGTTGATGAATTGGTTGCTGGGTTGGGGGTGCATACATTTGATAGTAAGATGGGATTGCCACTGGACCGGTTGCAGTATGTTGGATGTAATGTGTGCTGGTAGGAATGAACTGCTGCTGCTGCTGACTTTGCTGTGGAACTTGTATAACCATAGAATCCTGAACTTGCTGCACCTGAATTTGAGAGTTCTGGTCCACAATATTATTTTTGTGGTCAGTTGCTGCATAAGGCACTCTGGTTTCACGACTCGCTGCTGGAGGTGCATCTTGGTAAATCGTGTGTTTTGAGAAGGATGTTGCTGATGCAATGCTGCTATCACTGAAAAAGATCCAAAACTGTCTTATTATTTGACGAAAGTAAAAGCTTTTCATGTTTTTTAATCCCAATTACACTAAAACATGCCAAAAGTAAAGAGCAACAAAAATATTTCAAGTCTTGTTGTCACAAAATTTATTACTAGTTCTTTTTGTTGTTTAGATCTAACTTTCTAAGTGACTTGGTGGACGAACTTCAAACTTATGTGCTATATCTAAAGCTAGCTATTCATTTACCTGCCAAGATTCTAAATAAGAACATATGTCCTACAATAAAATTTTGAGTTTGAACGATTGACGAGTTGTATGATGCATTAAGGAATTACTGATGTTTCACTTTCGAAACGACAAAAAAGGTTATTGTAGTGATTTTTACTTAGATAGCCTGCTATTGCTAGTTGATCTTGAACATAGTGATATGACATTAGTTATCAACCAAATGAACAGAAGTAAAAATAATAGTACCTTGCTACAGAATCAGGTGATTGCAAGTTGTAACCCCCAGCAGCATGTTTTGAATCAGGTGATGGCAAGCTATAGCCATCTCCAACTTTTCTCTGAATTGGCTGTAACGGCAATGGGGGTTTTCGGCGCCCAGTAGGCGCACCATGATCTGATCTTTCATCATCAGAGATAACCCGACCCTGATGTTCCCCTGTAGCCGGTGCAGTGTTCACCAATGTAGCCGATGACATAACGGCTGCGCCACCGATTACAGTAGGAAGAGGTGGTGTTGCCGCTGTTGCAGCCAAATGAAGATAACCATCCTCCACCTTTTGTGCATTTGAAGCTACATTCATCTGTGAGAACTGTTCATCTATCCCAAGCATCTGATCCTGGAATCTTGCATTTGCGTAACCTGTATCTTCAGCTCTAACTCTAATTGGAGGCAAATTTGGCATAGATGGGGATGAAACAGTGGACTCAAATGATGAGGTTGTTTCAACCATTGGTGAATCAGACATAGTGGATTGCACTTCTTGGATTGCATTCTTTGCCATTTGCCTATTATTAGCAGCCAATGACTCATTCTGAGCCTCTAGGTTTATACCAGAATCACTTTTGGGAATGGTTTCAAGTTCCAGAAAATTATCCCCCGCAGCTGAATCAGAAAGCCCTCTAGAAAGCAAGCTAGCATTATTAAGAGCATCAACAAACCACGTTTCGGATTTAGAATCAGCAAGGAGGCAACCCATAGAGGCTGCTGTCTCAGGTTTTGCAAGAAAAAGGAACAAGCGAAGACGAGAAGGTTTCAAAGGCGAAGCAGACATTGCACGATCGTACTCTTCAATCATGTTATCTAAGTCCTCATTAGTTGTGACAGATACAAGGGAATCAAGTTCTTCATTCGGGAGCTGATACTTCAGGGAAAATCCACGGCCATTGAGGAGCGTGTGGGAAAGGCGAATATGAAGATCGGAGAGGGAGGATTGACGGTCCACTACAACAATGCGGGTGTCACCACCAACATAGCACAGGGACTTATCGTGGGGACGGGGAATAATATGACCCCCGTAGCTGCATATGAGGCGGAGTTTGGCACCAGGGACTTGTGCCAGAGACTCCTGATCCCACGTATCATTTTGGCGTGAGCGCGGGGAGGAGCTGGTGGAATCTGGATAGTTTTGTTGGGCAATGGCAATTTGAGTGATGGCATTAGTTGTAGGAATGACATTGATTTGGGATGGAAGAGGTGGAGGATCCATTGATTTCAGATGAAAATGGCCTAATGAGAGCTCAACTGCTGAAGTCTTATTTTGGGAGAATAATGTACAACACTAGTAGTTTTTAAAATATTTGTAGGCCAGTAGTAGTATTATATTTCATCAAAGGTTACAGCTAGCATATGATCAGAATGGGGGAACAGAGTTCAAAAACATACTGGCAACAGCTAACTGATCAAGAAGTGAATGGAGGGGATCCATTTATCTATTGAGCTTTATTTGGTTGTGCATGGTAAGTAGCAGGTGCGGAGCTACAAGTCCGGATGCGGGTTTGATCTAACTCAATAGCTTTTGCTTAAACTATGTGTTTATGCTAAAAATTTTCTCAAAAATATACAAATATCACGTTAAAACCCCAGTTATTAGTAATTAAAGTTATAGTTCTAAATTCATAACTCAAAGTTGAAAACCTGGATAAGTAGAAAAGTAATAGTATATAATATTTGACACTCTTGTTCTAAGCAATCGAACACTTTTTTTTTCCCAACAATCTTTCCAACTACTTTTTACTATAACAAGTAATTTATAATATTACATCTAAGGTAGTTCGTTAAATAGGTAATTTCCGTTCAAAGATTCAAAAAATTCAATATTTGAATCCACTAAAAGTTAAAGTGTGATCTTTGTACTTAAAAACTCATTATTCTTATTTAGGACGAAAAACTTATATTTAAAATTCTTTCTTTTTTGCCAGCAATGATTTCTATTTTTTTCTCCTTTTTTTTTTTTTTTTTTTTGATTCGAGTTTGAGAATGGGAGGATCACATGGGGAGTTTTATCGAAGAGACAAAAGGGGAGCTGAGACTTGGGGGAATCCACGTGTGGTAGGACAAGATTCAGGCTATTTGGCACATGACATGTTATTTTGGATTTTTTTCTTTTCTTTTCTTTTCTTTTCTGGTTCTCAGAATGAATACATGAGAAGTAGTGAGGGTAGTGGCGGATAGTAAAAGCAATCCAATTTTCAATGACAAGTTTAGCTTTGTGCTTCCTTAAGATTTGCGAAATTTGTACTGTCCGCGTGGAAACCCAACGGAGTCTATTCATTCTGTATTGGCATTGGCATGGAGATCCAAATGACACCATTAATAAGTTTTAAGAAAAAGAAAAAGATGATTTTAGTGGCAATTTGTCTCGACCAGTGTGGAGCCAAAAATTTTATTATGCGATATCAAAATATAAAAGAACAAATATACAAAGAAAATAAATGAAATCAACATATAATGTATATACGTACAAAATAAAATATTGATCAAGCTAAACAATATAATTTTTCAACAAACGAGTGTCAATTAACATCCCTTAGCATAAGGTGGCTCCGCCACTAATCTCAGCGACTAAATCATCGTGGTTTCTTAGAGGCAAAATCATGATTGTCTCTTTAGAATGATTTTTGAAAACAAATTCATGGTCGAAACCTAGATATATGTGAGAAAAATAAGTACATATAAAAATATGTCCCAATTTATGTGTCATAATTTGAATTGCGAGAGTCAGACATTTTAGTTTTGATCGTAAATCGGAAATATAATCTTTAAGTTTTTAAAAATAAAATTTACATATTTGAAAATTACGTAAAACTACCATAAGTCACAATGATAAATAATTAAAAATATTTAAAGGAAATCGCACTAAAAGAAAAACTCTTTTAACTCTTGAAATATGAACACCACCACATAATTAAATTGAAATGGAGAGAGTAAATTTTAAAACTCATTTTCTCAACTTAGAACCCATAGTATTTATATTAATCCACCACTAGATTTGAAAACGCAATACAAAAATGATGAAAGAGTAATATTCGCATAGGCCGGAGTGGAGAGTGATCAATGGCTGATCCACCCTTCTACGTGAGGGTGGCATGACACCCGCTAGGTTGACAATTTTTTTATATACATATGCTAAATTTTCTTAAACAAAGTTAAATAGTTAATCTTGCCACCCACGATCTCAAACTAGACAAATGTGTGGTTGTAAGGGCATTTTGCAAGGTTTGATTGTGTGTAGGGCTCATGTTCCAAGGTAAATACTTACTCGTACCGGGTATTTACATCAATCCAATAAATATACGATACATGTATTTAAATATATAGTATTAACTAAACTATAATTAATTAATATATATTCTCACACTAATTTATTACTTAACCATGGTAAAAAAAGGGCAGGCGGGTGCACAAAGCATCCTTCGTTGACGCATGGTCCGGGAAGGACCACACTCAAGGGGTGATGTAAATATTGTAAATTAGTACAATTTGGTGCGAACACTCGGTATGGGTAAATAAAAGTATTGCTCTTAATCTCTTATTTTAAAACTGAAAAACTTGGGTCTTGATGAGAATTTTGGATTGAGATCAAATCCATTTTTTATAATTTCTTTTGTTTACCATATCATAATTTGTGTTTTTCTATGGTTGTTTTAAGTTTAAATCTTTTTATTTTAAATTGTAATGAAAATTTCATATGCATTGTACAAAAAAACCATAAAATTTTTGGTTTTGAGTTTTGGAAAATTATAAATTATCGAATTTTACAATTACCTATGGGTTGTTGTTTAACTATTGAAGATGTTTTTTCTATTTTTCTTATTCTGAATTGATGTATTTCTCTTATCCAAGATGTTATTTTACTTGTGCAAAGTTTTCTTTAATAGAGAGGGTGTGATTCTCTAAATAAAAAATATTACTATTAATTTTACATGTGAAAATTTATTTTTAATTTATAAGAAAGAATATAATTCCACTAGTGAAATTATTATTTTTACTTGTATTGTTAATACTATAGATGTGATATATTGTTCAATATGTTGATTCTATTTGTTTCTTGATATATAAAAGATGTAATTTTCATATTTATAAATAAAAAATCTATTAAGTTGACCTGAATAAACTTGAAAGGGATCGAATCGAACTGAATATATATTTCTAACAAACATTATAATCAATACAATAAAGTAAATATGACATCCATCACCTCAAGTCGTGGATCCGCCTCCGGTGACGTTGATAACAACAATTCAAACTTGATACCTTGTTATTCTCTATGCATGAATCTTCCCTAATAACTAACTCGTAGTGTTCACTACCCTCTATATGAAGCTATATCCCATTTGATACCGGATACTTAATGAGTACTTAAAGATTTAACTTAAATGTTACACACCCAAATAGGAAAAAAAAAATATTTTTACGTATAGAACTTAAGTGAAAGAGTCTTACAGTTAATGGCAAATTCATGCATCGACAACTTGTCAAGCGTTACACTACCTAATTAAAGCAACTATGTCCCCAAGTTCATGCATAATAATCAACAATAATGGATAACAAAAATAAAACTTATTGTGTCACATAAAGCAATAGTACTTAGTTTCAGACAAATAATTAGGCCATACAAAAATCAACTACACAAATCTCCTTCCTTTTTTTTTTATTTTTATTTTAAATTTCTTTCTGTTTTGCAGAAGACATATTTCAAGATAGTAGCTCTCAAGAGGCTTCTGATTTATTTCAACAAAAGGGAGGAAAACCAAGGTAAGAAGTAATTTTTGTGGATTAAGATTCAACAAAAGAACTCTCAATCTTTTAGTAGTAATTGTTACAGATATCCATATGAATTAAACAATTTGGACATTGACTAAAGTATAAGCAAGGTGCAAATCCCTGCTACGAAAAGAAACTCTACTTTTATCTATATAGCAGAAGTATTATGGCCCATATTCCAACAAATAGCTTCCACTTCTAATTATATATTCTAGCTACATATCTCCAAGTTGAAGCTACACTTTAGGCCTAAGTTGCTCGGACTCGGGCCGGGTGTCTGATACGGGTGCGGATTCAGAGGTGGGATCCTTCATGATCTAAATTTTAAGATTTGGGGGTATGAATCCAGGTACGAATATGAGTGCGGAGATTCGGCTAAACATAATTCAAATATTTAAAAATAAAGTTATAAAGATATATCTAAATTATGAGACATTATATGAAAACTTAAAAGGTATTCTAAGAAGAAATGAATATTAATCAAGAGGAGAATCCAAGAAGGAAATAAAAGGAAAAAGACTGACATAAAAATTTCTATATACAAGGTATTAAGTTTTCTTCAATTTTACCCTAACTTTTATTTGGATTTAAAAAATCATTGTATCTATCCTGAATTTCTCAGTTGATTTTGGTCAAAGTACCCAAAGTCGGCTGACCAGATCTGGTAAGGATCTCACGCCCATATGCACACCCACGTCGTATCGATATGGATACGGCACTGAAAGTGAAGAGTCCGAATAACTTAGCTTTAGACAATGGCTAAGAATGTCTTTTACAATTTTGTTTTTGGTCACCCTTTCTTCTTTAAATTTTCTTGACCTCTACTCAAGCAATAGCTTGTATATTGTGGAAAACCTCTTACAATCTTGTACCGATATATACTCTTCTGCACGTTTAGTGTTATTTGACTTACTGCAATTTTTTTTTAATCACATAGGAGATCGAAGAAAGGGAAGGAGAAAAGGACTGACAAAAATCAAAGCTCAACCTATTGTAGAAAACTCTCACTATATATACCCAAATTATTTCAAGGTTAATAATCCACATTCTTAGTCCCAGTTAATACATAATTTTGATTTTGGTCGTTGTTATATTTGGCTAAGAAAATTTAACCAATAATTAATTCAAATGTGTTGATAAAATTGATTAATTCTGTCCCTTTTGTTTGGTTTGTGTGTGTTTTGGTGGTAGTATCCCTTGTGTTATGGATAGAGTGAGGATCAATTTAAATATTAGTATGTTTTTATCTCAGTATTGTCTAGTATGTCACTTCGAATGAAAGAACTAGAACATATATTTGTTCACTATTAAGTATAAATACACAGGTCTTTCATAAATTGTGCAGCACATGATTAGCAAATTTTAACATAATAATTTTATATCAAATGTTCAAATTAGCATGAATTTTGAAGCTCCTATCATCAAATATACCCTTTGAAAAAATTTGAAAAGGATTGAAATGACTGAGAAACACTTAGGTAAAGAGATTATTGTAATTCACTAGTTTAAATTGTACACGTAGCTCTTAAAAAGAGCAACACTCAAAATTGACCAAGGAAATAGCATCAATAAAAATAGGGAGTATGATTAAACT